CAGAGCCCGACGCGGGGCTCGAACTCACGGACCGCGAGATCGTGACCTGGCTGAAGTCGGATGCTTAACCGACTGCGCCACCCAGGCGCCCCGATTAGTGCCCTTATTAAAGAGATTCTAGAACTCCCTTCTACCATCTGAGGACACAGGGAGAAGATAAGATGGCTGTCTATGAATCAGGAAGCAAGTCGTCACCAGACACCAAATCTGCTGCCAGCACCTTGATCTTGGACTTCCCAGACTGCAGAACTGCAAGAAATAAACTTCTGTTGCTTATACACTACCCAATGGTATGTAATATAATGATATATGGTATTTTATCACATAGAGCAGCCCAAACTGACTACAACTTCCTTCATAGGGTGTGGTAGGCTGAAATTGCAGCCCCTCCTCAAAGAAATCCACATCCTAATCCCTGAAACCTACGAATGGGTCCATTTATGTGGCAAAAGAACTTCGCAGATGTGACTGAATTAAAAACCTTGAGAGCAAGAAACGACGCTGGATTATCCAAGTGGGTCCAACATAATCAAAGTGTCTTTGTACAAGAAAGGCAAGAGGGCCACAGACCCAGAAGAAGATATGACAACAGAAGCAGAATGACAGAGAGAGGGATTGGAAGATGGTACATTGCTGTCTTTGAAGCCAGATGATGGGGTCATAAGCCAAAGAATACGGGAAGCTTCCTGAAGCTAGAAAGACCAGGAAATACTCCCTAGAGTCCCACAAGAAACACAACTATACAGACCCATTTTAGGACTTCTGACCTCCGAACTATAAGAAAATACATTTGTGTTTTAAGCCACTAAATGTGTGGAAATTTGCTACAGCAGCAATAAGAAACTAATACATAGTTATAAACAGGATTAAATGAGCTCATGCGTGTAAAGTGCTAAGAACGGTTCCTAACAGCGATAGTAAGAGCTCTTTACATTTTAGCTCTTAGGAGTCAAGATCAGAACCCAGAGGACTGCACTGAAGTACTTCACAGGCTAAAAAAAATGAAGTTAGGAAATTTGGTAATATCTATCTAAATTTAAAAGGCACACGTCATTTGACAAAGAGATTCCATTTCTAAAAAGATTCACAGGGATATTCAACACATCCTTGTTTGTAATTACTCAAATATCCACTAACAGGCTAAAATTATAGAAAATCCACTCAGCAACATAGTAGGCAGCCTTTAAATAATGAGCTTATAAAATGTACTGATAAATCTACAAGATGTATCCTCTAATTAAAAAAAAAAGCTCAAGGACAGAATATTAGGAGAATATTGAGAATATTAGGTTCCATTTCTGTTTAAAAATAAAAAGGATACAGGGGCGCCTGGGTGGCTCAGTCAGATTTGAGCATCCGACTTCGGCTCAGGTCATGATCTCATAGTTCATGAGTTCGAGCCCCATGTTGGGCTCTGTGCTGACAGTTCAGAGCCTGGAGCCTGCTTCAGATTCTGTGTCTCCCTCTCTCTCTCTCTGCTCCTCCCCTGCTCACACGCTGTCTCTCTCTCAAAAATAAAGATTAAAAAAAATTTTTAATAAAAATAAAAAAGATATATATATATATATATATATATATATATATGTTCATAAGTACATCTAAAAAACTTCTAAAAGGGCATGCATGTAGTTCCCTGTTCACGGTGGTTGTTCGAAGAAAAGAGACTAAGGGGATGGAACAGGAGGGGAAAACTCTTGCCATCACATGCCCTTTTATGTTATTTTAGGTTTTAACTAGGTATGTGCCTGATACCCATTTTTAAGAAACTGAAGTTGAGTTGTGACATCACCAACCTATCAGCAAGTATTTATGCACTGACAATGTGCCCACCATTGTACATGCTACAGGGCATAGGACACAGTCCTGCCCTCCAGGAGTTCACATTCTGGCTGAATTTATAATCTAGATTTGTATTAGACAATCATCCAATTGTTTTGGACATTCACCTAAGAAAACAGAACCACACATTCTCTCAAAGTATTTTTCCACTTGTGACTCAGAGAACAAATCACCACCTAAAAAGAATAAATTCTACGTCTAATCCATTAGTCCCAACCAGCGCTGCTTGTGCTTAAGAAACCGTTACTTCTTGGGAAGTGGTCAGTGTTTAAGAAGGAAGGAAAAGCAGGAGAAATCTTTACAAAAACACAATTACATACTTTATTACACACTGCAAGAAAAAAAAGATGGACAAGTATCTCTGGGTAGTTGGATTTGTCTTCTTCATTACATTTTCCTAATTCTCTAATTCTTTACTAAGGAACATGTATCAAAGCCACAAAAAGAAAAACAAGATACACACCCTCCTCCCCTCAAAAAATATTCTTTTTTGGTGCCAACACAATAATGACGGTTACTGGTTCATCCTAAGTCTTCCTCTCATCTTAAAAAGCAACGGCAATCTAAAGTATGACTTTCCAAAGGCTGAACTGGTGGCAAAACCAACAAGAATCATCCAAGTCCAAGTGTTCCATTTATAAAATATTTAATCCAACTGTCACCCAATTAGAGCATAACTATAATGAAGACATTATTGCTAACAAGGGAGGCAGGATGGGATCTGGGTCACTCTTCCATAACTCCATTAGCTCCTCTCAGCCAATAAAGAAGTCTGTGTTAGCAAAGTATTTAGCTGACAATGGAATCATGATGTAATGCATTTCCATAATCTTACCAAGGAGCAAAAAGACAGAGCTGAAAAATGTTTAGTGGGTAACTGGAAAGTTGTCAAACAGCAACTCACGTAGGGTCTCCTCCAACCTGGTGACTTGAGGAGTCATCACTGCTCAAAGTATGGAGTCGATGTACCACAAATACCCCATGACGTTGACAGAAACAACGAACTGCTCCTGGGCACTATGTGCCAGGCCCTGTGATGAGGGCCCTTCCATTCCCGTTCCTTAATCTCTTTGAATCTTCTCAACTACTACTGTGAAGTACAGAGGAAACTGAGGCACAAAGCTGAAATAACTGTCCATGGTTACACCGCCACCGAGTGGTGAAGCTCGGATGAATTCAAGCAGGCTTCACTCAAAAGTATAGACATCACAATGCCTCCACTGGAAAGTATAAACGTTATACCACCCTTCCCGAGTCACCCCTCACTGTGACACGCCATCATTTGCCCAGCTTGCTCCCATCACACACTACCCTCCCCCCTCAACTTGGAATGAAATCAAATATGCTCCAGTCCTTCTGTAACGGCAGGTGCCCTCACTGGCTTTTCCCAATCAGCCTATACGTGAAGAAGCCATCTGAACAGAATACTATCCTTATCAGAGGCCACTTTTTGAAGACCCGCCTCTCTAAATTGAGATAGCAAGCCTATGACTTACTGCCTCGCACTCCCAGGGGACCCGCTATGTCTCCTGCCCTGCACACACAGCCCCTCGTCATTCACATTTATTCACAACTTGCCAAGTGCTCTCATTCAGAAAGCTGATCTAAATAAGGTCTTCCCCATAATAGCCCTAATAACAATAACAGCTACCATATTCTGAGCATTTATTATGCAACAGGCTCAACAAACACGGTGCCATTACATCCTCACACCAGCCCAAAGCAGGCACTGTCTTCAATTTATAGACGACAAAACTAAGGCTAAGAGATAAAGTAATTCAGCCCAAGGTCACACAACCGGTAAGAAACTAATCTGACACCCTGTAATTTTAAGCTTTCAGGGGTCTCCCCCTTTAATGATTAAAAAGGTGAGCTCTTCTCGGAATTCCCTTTTGAGAGGTGCCTTCCAACAAGAGATCTGCCCCACAACCACATGAATCCCATGGGCTTCACCCACAGGCTTACCTGAATTTCTTCATTTTCATCTACTAGGAGGAAACTCACAACCTTCTCGGTCATCTTCTTCCTCCTGGTCTCCTCATCCAGCTCTTCTTCCTCCAGTAACCCCTGGACCTTAGCGACATGGTACACAGTAACGGGGTGTCTCCTTTTGTTACCCCCAGAATGAGTCCTCTTCTGGCACTCCAGGCACAAGTTGATTTTACAGGTCTGGCACCTCACGGCTGCCCTCTGCCTCACACCTGGTGAATGCCCATTGGGACCCTTGCAGGGGTCGCAGTAAGGGACATGGCCAGGTTTGAGTCTTATCCGCTCGTGGTTTCGCAGGCGCTCCTGCCGATGGAGCTCCTCCTCGCAGCGGAGACACTGCAGACTACAGCACTCATCACACTCAAAGACCGCCTCATCAGCCCCACTGCAGGCATAACTTTCCTGGCACATCAGCCCCGGATTCAGGCCCTTGTCTGCCGGGCAAGTCTGGGCACTCATACTCGGATCGGTAAGGAAATCACCCACAACGTCACCGTCACTGGGCTTTCCCCAGCAGTGAAGACCAAGGCTTTGGGTCTGAAGCCTGCACAGTACCTTCACGGCGTTCTGCACGCCTTAAAAAAAACAAACAAACAAACAAACAAACAAAAAACCTCTGGGGTCCTATCAGAATTCTTCACACGCTCACAAACGTTCCAATTTTTAATCTTCTGCCTCCAAGATTCCTGTATCTGCAGCAACGTTGATTTGGTTTGATGGTGTTATCCGTCTGTAAAGTGCAAGCCTGGAAGGATCTCTTCGGGCTATCTGAAAGAGATCCGATGGGTTCACCGAGGTGGGCTCATCAGTTGGGCCTCGGCCACGAGGTTTTGGTATAGTGACAGAGTGGTCAGGAGCTTTGCAAAATAATCCAACCCCAAGTCAATATTTCAGGGGATACCTAAATAGAGGAAGGAAAAGGATTTCACTAATCTAAAAACAGAAGTGCACCTTAAAAAAAAAAAAAAAATGTGATTAAATAAGAGGCCAAAACTCCTGACAGAAATCTCATTCTTGCTTGTAATGCTTACACCGGCTCTTTCTGATCCTCGAAATTTCGTCTCAAAATCACAGGCAAGACTCCCCCTTTGGAAAACAGCCACTATCCCTAGGCCCAGGGTATTTCAGAGACTTTGCCGCTTTAATTCTCAGACTGAAATTCTCTGTTCGTCCAGTTATTAATTAAATTCAGAATCAAAATCATTTAGCAAAAAGTCCTTGGAGGGACAACCCTTTGCAGTCCCCCAACCTGCAGCACACAATTGTGAGGTGGATAAAGAGGCCTGTAAAAAGCTAAAGAAATGATAATACAGACTTTGGCTCCATCAAAGTCTTTGGCAGATCTAGTTAGGTTGTTTCAACTCTAGACAGATGTCTATTAAGGACTGTCAGCCTGGAAACAAAAGTCACCGTGTCATATTTAAAAACAATAAAATGCAATTATTATACTTCCTTTTGTCCCTTCTCTAACTGCAAAAAAAAAGGGAGCAACAGGAGACAGAATTCCTCCTCTACAGCCCACTGCAAAGCCAGGCCTGCAGTGAGTTAAAACAAATAATTTCTCTCTTTGTCACTCAAAAACTAACTTAAAAATAACTTCAAAAAGGAAAAAGAAAAAGATAGGATAACTGGGACAGGGAAGAGGCTTTTGTCACTTCTACAATTACATTCTAAACCCCCCTTTAGCCTTGACCTCCATTCTAATGCACCAACGAAACGTAAAGCCCTCCTCACAAATACTCACTCCACCCTGTAGTAATCAATCTATCAATCTTATTTTTGGATAAACAAGGAAGGAGAAGAGAGTGACTAGGAGACCTTATTTACACCCTAACCTCAGACATGGCCAACCAGCCTCCACAACGGAAACGAAAATCAAAATCTGTCAGAGAAATTTAGAAAAATAGAAAATCAACCTTCGAAAGAACACCTCACCGCCGGACCAGCCGGCCAAGCAAACAATCTGCCCACTCGGGCCCCCACCTCGACACCTCTCTCGAGCCGGGGATTCCTCACCCTTCCTTCCTCCCGGGCAACACCACCACAACCCGAGGGGCAGGAGCAGAGTCTGAACAAAGAAGGTCCCCCAAAATCTCCCCTCCACGCTAGCAGAGGCCAGAGCCGAATCTATTGTTTATACCACCCCACCCCCACCCCAGCCGCACCCGCACCCCCCCCCCCCCCCCCCCCCCCCGCCCCGGGGGCAGCCGGAGCTCCAGGACTATCGTTCGCCCGCCGCAGGGCCGTGCCCTTCCCTCCCCGCCGCGGCTGCCCGGGAACCCCACCACGGAGCAGCTCGGCAGCAGCGAGGCGGCGTCGGGGGACCGCGGTGCGCCGGCGGGGGCGGGGGCTGTTCCTCAGGGCACCGGTGGATCCATCTTCATCTCCATCTCCGCCCCCCTCCTCCTTCGCTGCCTCCCGGGCTTCCTCCTCTCCTGTTGTCAGTTGGGATCAGCTGATCGGAGTGAACTTCTCCCAGCTCGGACTAACAGGAAGGCGTGAGCAGTGCAGCCCAGGGAGGGACGAACGGGAGGGGGTGGAGTCCGACTCCCGCGAGGGTGGAGAAGGGCGCGCACAGCTTCCTGGGAAGTGTAGTTCCGCGGACGTGAATCCTCCCCCACGTCCCGGAAGGGAAGGCTCTGAATGACTACAACTCCCAAAACGAAACAGAGTGCTCTTGTGAGGAGGTGGTGAAGACAGGCCGTCGAGTATTTCGGGACTTGGAGTTTTTGCATCGACTGCGGTGTTCGAAGGTTTCAGCGCGTTGTTTTGGGTAGTGGCCGGAGAGGGAATGGCGCTAAATTAGATGACTGATGTAATGTGTTGTGTAGTTGAGGCAAATAATTCGATTTCAAGTAACCGGTGTTGCACACCATTCCTTCAGAAATGTGTAAAAACAAGCGGTCTCCTCTTCCCTAATTTCACCTTGCACAAATTAGGAGAAGACCAGAAAGAATTGACAAAAGAATACTCTTGGAATTTTGTTTTCCCTTATGAGTATTCTTCAAGCCAAATATTATTTATTTTCCTTACCTTTCACTTTTTTGACGTTTTCTTACATAGTTTTAGAGCTTCTGGATTTTAAATCATCCTTAAGCTAGACGGGGTACATTTTCAGACAAGCTTGTGGACTTACGGTGCAGGCTAATGGTTAACACTGTTATCGGGCTTTTTTATAGAAAGCCATATATTTGTTCAGTGCTTTCACTTTGGGGTTTATTTGTTTGTTTCCTTTTTTTTTTTTTTATCTCCGTTTGTTTCTTGGAACAACACTGAAAGAAAGCATGATATGATGAAATGAGCACTGGTCTGAGATGGGAAGACGAGTGCTTGTTCTAGAAAGCTAATGGGTAAGTCACTCAACCTCTCCATGAAATGAAGGAATTGCACTGGATCAATAATGAAGGCTTTGCCAATTCTAACATTCTATGATTCTACCTTGATAATTGTTAACCCAGTAGAGAAAACTAAGATTAAGTGACTTGCCAAGTTACACAGCAAATGATTGACAAAGCTGGGACAAGAATCCATCTCCTGACTTAGTCACATACTCTTAGGTTTAAGGGACATAATTAGACCAATCGTGAAAACAAATCTGCATTATAATGAGTGAGCCACATAGGAAGGTTATATTGATAAAAATTATGTTTTCAAGACTGGGCAGAGAGCCAATAGTTGGAAAAACTGCACAACATGACAGAATTTTTTTCCTATGTTTTATCACAAACCAGGATATTAAGAACTAAGCTATCTATAGCACTTTAAAACGTCAAAGTTTCAAAGTGGGAAGAGGAAAAGAAGGGTTTTAGTAAGTTAAGAGAATAGGTCTTGAGCTAGGCTCTTAAAAATTCCCTAGAGGGTTTTGTTCCTAAGACTGATATTGTAATTTTTTCTAAGCTTAATATGTTGTTTTATATTCCTAATTATAAAATGAGGATGGGGTACCTGGGTGGCTCAGTCGGTTGAGCTTCTGACTTCAACTCAGGTCATGAACTCACTCTTCATGGGTTCAAGCCCCACCTCGGGTTCACTGCTGTCACCCTGTCCGTGCAGAGCCCGCTTCCAACCCTATGTCCCCCTCTCTCTACCCCTCACCCACTTATGCTCTCCCCAAAATAAATATATAATAATAATAATAAATAATAAAATGAAGACATATCCTGGGAACAAAATGGTAGTTAATCCCTTTTGAATCCAAGGATACCTATTTTAAAGTTTATGTATTTATTTATTTATTTTTGAGAGAGAGAGAGAGAGAGAGGGCACGAGTGTGATTGTGGGGGCTGGGGGGGGGGTGGCGCAGAGAGAGAGGGAGACAGAAGATCCGCAGCAGGCTCTGTGATGTGGGGCTCCAGCCAAAAATCAAAAGTCGGCCGCTTAACCCACTGAGCCACCCAGGTGCCCCTAAAGTTCATTTTTTAAAGTTGTAATAAGCACCCCTAAACCTGTGGAAAATGGTTGCCTCCAAGGAGTAGAACTAAGGTGACGTAAAATGGAAGACTTTACTTAAACATATTTGAGGGCGGCCGGGTGGCTCAGTCTGTCAAGCGTCCAACTTCAGCTCAGGTCATGATCTCACGGTCTGTGAGTTTGAGTCCCACATCAGACTCTCCGCTATCGGCACAGAACCTGCTTCAGATCTTCTGTCTTCCTCTCTCTCTACTCCTTCCTGCCCCCCCTCTCTCAAATAAAAGTAAAAAATAAATAAATAAATAAAACACGTTTGTACTTTTTTTGGAAGATTTAATTTTTTTTAATTTTTTTTTAGATGTTTATTTTTGAGACAGAGCATGAGCGGGGAAGGTGCAGAGAGAGGGAGACACAGAACCTGAAGCAGGCCCCAGGCTCGGAGCTGTCAGCACAAGAGCCCAACGCAGGGCTCAAACTCATGAACTATGAGATCATGACCTGAGCTGAAATCTGACACCCAACTAACTGAGCCACCCAGGCGCCCCCAAATTTTAAGTAATCTCTACAACCAACGTGGGGCTTGAACCCACAACCTGGAGATCAAGAGTCACATGCTCCGTCTACTGAGCCAGCCAGTGCCCCAAAACAAATTTGTACTCTTGAGGTTTTTACTATGTAAGTGCAATATGTCAATACTACTACTAATAATAATAAGGTAGTTTATTTTTATTTAACAGATAATTGAAATTATCAGACCTGTTTCTGTTGTTTTTGTTCATTCTCATTCTTTGTGTGCTTATTTTTTTACTATGAGCCGCATTCTACTTGGAAAATTATTTGTGGGAATTCTTTGAGTCCTAGGATAAAGTTTCATTCCTCCAGAGAGGATTTCCTTTTGCTTCTGCCAGGAAGGACCACTTTTTTTTTTTTAATGTTTATTTTTTTACTTGAGAAAGAGAGAGGGAGGGAGGGGCAGAGAGAGAGGAAGACAGCAAATCCCAAGCAGGCTTGGCGCTGTGGGCACAAGACCCCATCTGGGGGTTCAAACT